GAACTGTCACAATTTTAGTATAGTGAAAGAGGAAGGCTTACCTTGCTTGAAACGTAGTTTCGATTTCACTAAGTTTAAAATCAGTTGGCTGATATTTATTATGTAATCACAACTTTAAAAATTACTTTAAAATTCCCGAGATACGCTTTATCGGCGTCGGTGAGTAATCGGACAGCGTAACGCCCGGCCCACTCAGTAACTGTCTCTTCCCCTCGTTCCCAAATCATTTAAATATTAGTTAAGATGTGCTTTCTTTGAAAATTTTGTAAATTATTTGCATTAAGGGTTTTAAAAAGAATTGAACAAGTAGTTCAATTTTTTTTTCTGTCGGGGGAATAATGTAATAATTGGTATTATTATTGGAAAATATAAATAATTTACTAAACAAAACAGTTTTTATAATATTTTTTTGAATTTTTAGTAAATTATTTATATTTTCCAATAATAATACCAATTATTACAGTAGATTCATATTCATACAAGGGTGGAAAGTAGAGATTTATCCACATGCGTGTGATATAGGATACTTCCCATAAGGCTAAATAGTGCGATGTGTCACTTTAAGTGGCCCTGTAAAGTTGAAAAAGGGAATTGCAATGGGTCGTTTCTAAAATAAGCAATTCAGTTGATTAATTTTAACAGCAACACTCTCATAACAGACTTCGACAGAACGATTTCGTTTTTCCCATTAAACCCATCTATAAACATTTCTGTTTAGTGCAGCCAATATATCAATTGTTCATAGACTTAAAAATTTTAACAAAACATATTAAATACCGGGCCGTCGCTCTACCGGTCCCTCGTTCTGTAAGTGGGCCCTCGTAAATTAAATGCAAGAAACACCGTAATACGTGAGAGGACCTTTTTTTGCTCTTCAACGAGAGATGACTTTTTTGCTCTTCAATGAGAGGATTTTTTTGCTCAAGGAAAATCGGACCATGAAAAAGGTGGGCCCTTCTCCCTCCTGACCGGTAGGCCCTAATCCGACACTGTATGTTTTCCATAAGTTGCTTGGTATACTAGCAAACCTCTGTTTCCACTACTAAGTTGGCGATCTCTTTGGAATGAATTGCTAAGTGTAATACTGACAGCATTATTTATTGCACGTCCGTTGAATCAGCTGATGCATTTTTTTGTAATTACATAAATAGCGACATATTTTAAATTCATTGCCGCAAGTTGAATTGAAACTGCAATTCTTAGAAAAAAAAAAAAATGGCGCCAACCAGTTTAAATTTTTTTAGTGTAGATTCCATGTTTTCTGTTATGTTGAATTATCAAGCAATGATGTGTTTTATACAGTGAGCATCATAAGTCTTACCCCCCCTAACTAACTCGTTACTGGGGTCTTGTTAGGAAAATCGCCGAGACAGGTCGATTTTTGATTTCTACAATGTACATTTTTGCATGATTAGTTTACCATTAATTTCATCCCTTACTGGAGGGTAGCAACCCTTTCGAAAAATTTAAATGGCATGGGGTGGTGAGTGATAGCTCATTTGAAAGGGGGTTTTATTCTCTATTCAACCATGCAAAAAATTTTGAAATTTGCTTACGTGTTGATTTATTAATGTTTAAAAATAACAAAACCTCACAAAATAGGAAAGCAACTAGACTAACAGTGACCTTCTAATGGCAAAAAGTCTTACTTCACGTCTGAACCAAAACCGAAATCATGCAGGGCCAAATTTTAATTCTAAGGATGAGTGCGCTACGTTAATTTCCGTTATTCTGAAACAACAATTAGTCGATAATTAATGAAGCAAATTTCAAATTTTTTTACACGGTTGAATAGAGAATGAAACCCTCTTTCAAATGAGCTATCACTCACCACCCCATGCCATTTAAATTTTTCGAAAGGGTTGCTCCCCTCCAGTAAGGGATGAAATTAAGGGTAAACTATTTATAAATGTACATTGTAGAAATCAAAAATCGACGTGTCTCGCCGATTTTCCTAACAATACTCCAATAACGAGTTAGACTTATGGTGCTCACTGTATAAATGGCATGTTTTCTCTATCTGATTGGTATAATTACAAACTTGTTTCAGTAAATAAGTTGATGTACTTGTTCAGTGACTTAAGCGTAAAACGGACAGCAATTTCTCTTGCAGTATTTCGCAAAATATAAATATGTATAAATGCCACCTTCAATTTTCAAAATTATTGAATATGGGAGCTAACTTCTTTTATCTTCTAGCATATAATTTATATAAATAATAATTCGGCAACGCTTTGTAATCATAAAGTAATTAACAAAAAATCTGATGTGTCCAACACATGACTTTCCTATCTTGTTATTACGGGATTTTTTCGGTTATTTTGTACAACATATTGTACCTCTGTAAATATTTAGAGGTTAACTTAATATATACATTTCCACATAGATCTAACTCGAAAATTCTAAAAAAATTTAATTTTATAATTTTCCTCCAATTTTTCCACTATGGTCCATTTTAGAGAAATCATGTCAAAAAATTTTAGAGATCGATATGGCAAACATCTTTTAATTCAACAATTTTCTTGAAAATCATAATTTTTTAAATTTTGTAAAATTTCTCGAATACGGACCATTTCAGGAAATTTTGCATAGAACAAAAATTATACAAAATAATATTAGAAGTAACTTTTATTTAAAAAATTTTCTTCTCCAAATGTAAATAACAGAAATATTTCAAAAAATATAAAAACTGCCTCCCATAAAGTACCCCCCCAGATGTTCCGCCTTCGTCTAAAATCTCATCATTTCACCTCAGGCCGAAATAAAACTTAAGTCTAAAATTTAATATTTTTTTCCTTTATTCGTTTTTCAGTTTTCAAAATTCGAAATTTACACATTTTCTCAAATATCTCGAATACGGTCCACTTTAGAGAAATTAAGTATAGGATAAAAATTATAGATAATTATATTACAAACAACTTTTATTTGAACAATTTTTATAAAAAAATATTTTTTTTCATTTTGTCAAATTTCTCGAATACGGGCCATTTTAGGAAAATTTTGTATAAAACAAAAATTATAGATAATAATATTAGAAGTAACTTTTATTTGAAGAATTTTCTTCTCCAAACGTAAATAACAGATATATTCCATAAAATATAAAAATGACCACCTATAAAGTACCCCCCCAGATGTTCTGACTTAGCCCAAAAACTAATCAGTTCATTGGACGATGGAATAAAGCTTAAGTTTAAAATTTTGTGTTTTTCTGTGTATCGGTTCATGAGTTATGCGACACACACACACACGCACGCACGCACGCACGCACGCACACACACACACACACACACTGACAGACATCATCGCGAAAATAGTCAAAACGAAATCAGGGGACCTCAAAACATAAAAATTCGTCGAAAAAAAAACATGATTCCTATACTTTCCTTATATCTGTATACAGATAGGAAAGTAAAAATGTTTCTAAAGTACACCAAGAGCGATAAAGACATGGATACGATTCATGTCCACGTCCCTGATAACTATGACACTTGAAGCCTTAAAGAAGGCCTAGTTCTATTAGGCATTCCAAACAAAAGATCTGTCGGTGGGAAGAGTTGATATGTGGGAAGGGTTAATATGTCTAAAGGGTTGCGAAATACGATGTATTCTATCTACAATATGTGAAATCATAAATAATGGATTAAATTTAAATATTTTATGGCGGCCTAATAGAAATTTTTTGTGTATCACTTCATATAAATATGACTTACCACATACTTATTGGATTGGTACACCAAATTTTATAAGTTTAAAATAAAACTAATTAAATAGAAACATTATTTTTAATGATCATTTACACCGTTTTAACAAAATTTACCTATTGGTCTCTAAACTTACAGTAAATATATAAAGTCTTTTAAAGTCCTGAAATTGTTGAAAATAATTAAATCATATCCCATTTGTGTACGTGAAAATAAAACAACACAAAAATTTAAAGTTAATACTAATTTTTTTTTGGTCATATCATAAAGAGTAAGTAAGTCTAGTTTAATATAGTGAATGTCAAACTGTATTATTTAACCAGTCAACAAGGTGAAATCATTTGTATAATTCTGATTTAAGCCTATTGACTTCTTCACGTTTCCGAGTGTATAGATCTAAAATATAAATCAAAAATCACTAAATATAGATTTAAACTTACTCTCTATTTGGAATTTATTGCATATTTAGAAATTTTTTGCAATAAACTACTGATATTTAAGAGTGAAAAATTTCCAAATTTGGTTTTCATTATGTAAATCACTATTCAACTGACCAGATTTCTAAATAAGCAACCAAACCTTTTCCAAATAAAACTAAATATAAATAAAAAAAAAAAAAAAAAATGTTGAAAGGAATCACAATAATATATCAGGAATAAACGATAGTATACACTTTATTTCATTTTGAAATCGCCACACACTCATTGTACAAGTATACACAATAAATTGCAAGTACTCACAATCAATTTTGCCTCTTTTTTAAAATAATTATACATAACTATTTAATTTCATTGTTAACAAGCAGGTCTTTTGAATAGTATGTATATCAAATAAGTGTGTCACAGTTATGAAATTATGTATGTCTATAAAAAATTACTTTTTAGGCTTAACAGACTCTCAACAAAGAAAAATGTTCAATTTTAAAGAAAATACTGTTTATACCTATTTAACATCTACGCTGCGTCGTCAAATAATTTTATTTTCAATTAGGCATTACGGGACAAATGTGACCCATATAGGGTAAGGATATTAAAAGTACCGCCCCATAGAAAACACGATTGGGGACATATGTGACCCGTAAAGCAGCGAAGGTGTCCAGAAAAAATATAACACACACGAAGTAGAATACTGTCATAACTCAAAAACTTTTTTATTGTCTCTCTATATAAAGTTTTTTAGAGAAAATAGAAAACACAATGGAGTTTTGCAAAGAATAGCTGGGAAAATGTGGTAATGTGGAACAATAATGAATAAACAGTAGAAAATAAATAATTGGAATGACACAAACACATAGCAAGAATGAAAAATTATAGAAAGAGATGTAGACCAAGAAAAGCATGGAATGAGAAAATAAATCATAAGTCGATCGGTCAAATGAAAGAGGAAAAACAACTAAAATGGTTTGATCAGCTGCACAGAATGGCCCCAGAGAGGATAACAAAGAAGATAGAGGAACCAAGATGGTATGGAAACAGAAAATTGAGAAGGGCGAGAAAGATTATGGAAGATATAATAAAGGAAATAGCTCAAAAAATAGAAAAAAACTACAACACATATAGAATAAAATGGATTTATAGAGAAAAAGAAGAAAGTAATATCATAATGAAGAAATGTATTAGACATTTACGATTTTAGTATTTAAGCTATAACTATTCAAGAGCCTTCAAAGTAACCTAAATTATTGTATAAAACAAATAGTGGCTAATTATGATGGCGAATGAGGTTATTCCTAATCTGTAATTCAAATGACAACCATAAATCATTTGTAAGTCATCCCAGAGCTCCTCCACAAATGATAATAGTAGTCTCTCCCCCCGATACATGGAGGTGTAAAGAAGCGCTTGACAGGGATAGTTATCTCCATCCTTCATTTTTATGTACTGTTAAATTTGATGTAGAATGATGCCTGAACATATTATATTTCAAAGTAGTGCCAAATGATTTTGATATAAGAATTTTGATCAAAAAATACCGTGAAATTTTGAATTTCGCGGGCATTATGAATCCGATTTTCATTAATTTTTTTATTTTGTTTGTACACATGTTCCTGAATTATGTTGTAATTAGCAGTCATTTTCGTCAGTCAAAAAGGTAAAACGTGCTTTGGGGTGCTAGGCGATTTTTTACTTTTGATAAAAATAGATCAAAGAATTTGTATAAAATTTTGCTTGAAACATGGAATAAAATGCAGTACCTTATATGAAATGTTATTCGTAGCTTTTGGCGAATCTACTATGAGTATGACAAGAGATTATGAGCTGTACAGAGGTTTCAAAGATTACCATGAAGATGTGACTGCCCTAGACGCCCTAAAACATCAACGTTGAACAACTAAAGAAAATGATTTTGAAACACTATCAGAGAGGTTGCTGATGATGCCAGAATATAATTTGGCTCATGCCAAGCAAATCTATTGTATATTATAGGTATGAAATGCTAAATTTCGACAAGTTTGATCAAATGGTTTTCACTATTTTCTTTGATTTCAATGGCATAGTGCATTATAAGTTCCGGCCATATGGTCGCACTGGTAATAAGGAATACTTCCTGGAAGTTATGCACCATTTTCGTGAAGCAATTAATCGTAAATGCCCAAATTGTGGCAAAACTACTCATAAAAATGCATCACAATAATGCTCTTGATCATGCCTTATTTGTGATTTTTTTGGCAAAAATCAAAACTGTTGTTACGCCTCAGCCACCGTATTCGCCCGACATGGCTCTCAGCGAATTCTTTCTATTTTCGGGACTAAAGAGAACCATTGACAGCATTAAGGAAATGAAAACAGAATTGCCAAAGGAGCTGAATGGTATACCAAAAACTGAATTCCACAATTACTTCAGAGATTGAAAAAAGCATGGCACAAACAACTGCATTATATCTGAGGGGGATTATTTTGAAGAGGAAAAATTGATCTTGATTAATAATTAAAGATTTTTTAAGAAAAAGAAAATTTCTCAATATTTTTTGATCACACCTCGTACTTCTAGGTAGGCACTAAACTGTATAATAATAATAATAATAATAATAATTATTATTATTATTATTATTATTTAACAAATTTATTTCCAATGAAAAATAGTCGAATGTACTAAAAAAAACGGCAGAAACGGTCGAAACTAATTAATAGTATTGAGCCAATATCTCCAACCGCAAATCCAAAAAAGATCGTGAGTGTCTTCAGAAAAATACGTTGCACTAATCATCGATTGTGCAGTCCTAGCGAGATATTGTGTAAACCATACAACAAAACGTTCAAGTCCTCACAACTCGTCGTGCAGGTCCTCGTGCACGTCAACGGGGGCTTCGTAACAAGCAGCCGGCGTTACGAAGTCAAAGAAATATTCGCACCTATTAGGCTCCGACACACTTAACAATTTATTATCGCTACCGCATCCAACTCGGACTATGGTCGACCTGGTGGGGCCGTTCCAGCAAGATTGACCTCGATCGTAGGTCATCTGTTCGTACCTGTTACCATCGGGACCCGTCCATTGGCCCCACGATCCCAATCTGGTTTCGGCAGCGCCCGATTTCGGCTGCTGTGTGGTCCTGTCGAACGGGCATAACTTGTAGATATACTCGTGGTCTTCATAATTGAAACATTGACCTTCTAGAGCTGCAAATTCTTCTTCGGTACCAAAATCTTTTTCCAAATATGATTGGATATTGGTTATTTCGGTTTCAATGTCACGAACGTGACGTTCTGCCTCGAGGAACTCACCTCGGGCGTTGTTAGCTCTATCTACAAGCTGTTGAGTTTCAGGATCATATTGAATTTTTAGGGGTTCTTGAGTTGGTTCCGGTTCCTCTGTCTGCTCTTGGTCATGGGGTTCTTCTTCATCTTCATAATCTTCTTGTTCTAAAAGTAATTAGATATACATGTACATACAGAGTGTCCCAAACTTCTGACAAAGTTTAAAATCTCCTTTAACATAAGAAATCTCAAGAAAAACTTAATGATATAAATCATAGACATTTCTAAGTTCCTCATTTAAAATTATTTTGAAGTATACAGTGTGTCTCATTACGTGGTGACAACACAAAGTTATATTTGTTTTAAATTTGACTTTCATCCACTTTTACTATTTCGACAATATAGTTTTACTAGGTTATACTGAGTATTTCGAATATGGAGCCACTTATACGTGAAATATATTCAATATCTAATAAACCAAAAAAAGTAAAAAAAAAATTTTACTGGTGCAAGGTTTTATCTATGGTCAAGTAAACCCTCACAAAACCACAATAGTCAACTTTAGAAAACGAAAAGTACCAACAGGACTAAAGTCACCAGTACTGAAAGGAGTGAAGATTCCATTCGCTCAAGAGGCCAAATACTTGGGAGTCATCTTTGACCACAGGTTAACATGGAATCAACACTTGCAAAAAGTCACCCAAAAGAGCACAACGTCCTTCAACTTATGTCGAAGGTTGTGTGGAAAAAATTGGGGATTACAACCAAAAATGTCCCTGTGGTTATATACCAGAGTCATAAGGCCGATGATAACCTACGGGTCGGTGGTATGGTGGCTAAAGACTAGGCAAGCTGGAGCCATTCGACAGCTCAATGGTATTCAAAGGCCAGCATGCCTGAGTACCACGGGAGCTATGAGAACGACTCCAACAGCAGCTATAGAAGTCATGCTAAACCTAACACCACTACATATATTCATTCAAGGAGAAGCCAGGTCTGTCACATACAGACTGCACAAAGGTTCATCGCCCATAAGCAGTTTGCATAGACGCGACTACAGCGAGCTATATAAAGAGTTGGAGAACGACCAAATAATGGGAATGCCTTCAGACGAAATGCTTCCAAAGTATAGCTTTCAAAAGCAATATAAAGTAAGTATACCAGACAGGGAAGCGTGGACGGGAGGACCTTCTATTCATGCAGATCTCACCTGGTATACAGACGGCTCCAAAACCCATGAAGGTTCAGGAGTAGGTATATATAGTACCAAGTCAAAGACAGGAATCTCACTGAGCTTAGGTAAACATGCGACAGTATTCCAGGCAGAAATAGCAGCAATACATCACTGCGCAAAAGAAGTATTAAGACAGAAGGTAAATGGAAAAACCATTGTCATATACTCAGACAGTCAAGCGACGTTAAAAGCACTCAGTTCCATGCAGGTACACTCAAAGCTTGTGTGGGACTGTTTGGAAGCCCTAACAGAGCTGGGTAGTCAAAACAGACTAACCTTAGCCTGGGTACCAGGCCACAGGGGACACAAAGGCAATGAAGAGGCTGATTTACTAGCCCGAGAAGGAGCATCAAATGCTCTTATTGGCCCAGAACCCTTCAGTGGTGTAACAAAAACAACTATCAGAACATGCACAAATCAGTGGATGTTTAAAAGATCTCAGGAGTGGTGGGAAAACTCACCAGGACAGAGACAGGCCAAAAAGTTCTTAAAAGGACCATCGTCTAAACTCACCGAGCATCTACTAAGCCTTAATAGGAAAAATACTAGAATACTAGTAGGTCTATTAATAGGGCATTGTAGGCTTAACAAACATATGTTCAATATCGGTCTGACAGAAGAGGCCTTGTGCCGATTCTGTCAAGAAGAAGAAGAAGAAGAAGAAGAAGAAGAAGAAGAAGAAGAAGAAGAAAAAGAAGAAGAAGAACACGTATTGTGCTACTGCGAAGGTCTAGTAAGACTGGGATTCCTTACACTTGGAGAAGAAAAACCAAGGGCAACTAGCTATACCGGAGAACTACTTCCAGTCTACTACAAAAGACCGCATTAGACAAGGTACTCTAAACAATGATTAAAGGATATCCACAATAGATCTGAAAAGGTCGAGGTGGGGGAGGCCACATGGCCCTTAGTCCTAATTAAATCTAAATCTAAAAAAAATGGTCAAGTTATTTTCAAAATAACATTTTTTTAGATTGCTTAATTTTGTTTAGGGGATGATACATAACTGTTTTCATAAATGGTTATTTGATGTTATTATGGAAAAATGTACTTTAACAAGCTGTTGAAAAATGAATGGACCAATTTGTTGTTTTTTTATGAGAATAAATGAAAAACCAAATATTATAATGATGATGGAGAAAAAGGAATTAGAAGTTTTGTTTTGTTGCCAGAGAACAAGCTAACTCCAGAAAAACAGTAGATAGGACATTATTGACAAATAAAATGCATCAATTTAAGATCCAGTTACACCAGGAGTTAAATGATATCGATTTTCAAATTAATAAAAATGTATTGAGGAAAGAGTTTTTTGAATATATTCTTTTTGGTGATGAGACGACCGTTTATAGAAATGGTTGTTTAAATCAACACAATTTTCAATAATATCGTTTTAAAAATCCATACTTTATAATTACTCATCGTCAAATAGTGTGGAAATTAAATGTTTGGGGTTATAGGATAATAATGTAAACCTAAGATTATTATATTCGGGTCAAAAAAATAATCGTGACAAATAACTTGTTCAAAAGGAATGATTTTCATTTTAAAACTAACTTATAGTAAAGAGATGTTTACCTGTAAAACAATGTTTCATAAACTTCGTTAGTATTTGGGCGACAAAAAAGTTTCAGTACTTGCAAATCCTTGTATTTAGCCTGGACAACGTCGGTTTTTTTCCAATAAACCTCAGACAACGTCCGTTTTTAACCATTATGATTATTTTTAAATGTCTTATTATTCGGACCACGTTTGTTTTATTCGTTTACAATTTAGCACATGTTTGGGACTCGGTATCAACAACATAACAAGTGGATTACTTAAAAATTCCTAAAAATGGAAATCGTTGTTTTTTCCCCTTACCCTTCAAATGTTATTGGCAAAAACTGCTAAACCATTAAATTATAAAAATCTTAGTAATTATTATTTAATACCATCCATTTAAGAAAATTGGGCCTCTGTATTGCCCCTATACAAAATTAAGCAATATAAAAATAAAACTTGTGCCGTCAGAACGTAGTGAAATGTGGATAAGTGCCTATGATGTATATTAATAAGTTTTTTCTGAAGAATTTCTAAAGATAACAGATTTAGAACTTTGTCAGTGGTTTCGGTTATGTATTATGACAATCTACAACTTTGATTTTTATTAAATATAATACATTTATACCGTGTTTGGATAAATTATTATTATTTACCTTCATCTTCTTGACTTTGTTCTTCACCATCTTCAGTTCCTTGCATGTCTTCAGCTTCAGTAGGTTTCTCATCTTCAGCCTTTTTTTCAACGATTCTTTGACCAGTGGCTTCCATCATTGCAAATGGTTTGATGATTTTCCAACAATCACTGATAAATGCATCCAATTGTACGGATTCTTGGAGATTTAAGAAAAATTTGGCTTCTTCGTCAGAAACTATTAAAAAAATAATAAATTCGTAATTATTGATAGAAGTTAAGTGGAAGTAATATGTTTACCTTCTCCATTTCTGTCTTTATCAAAAGTTGTTCTTGTTTTCATCTCAGAAATGTCCAACCAACCATCCTGATTTGAGTCATAGCGATTAAAAGCTTCAGTCGCTTCGGCCCTATTAGCAGCGGCTTCTTCCTCAGCTTTTTTCTGTTTAGCCTCATCTTCTAATTTTTTATAATATTCCAGTGCAGTTCCCTCTAATTCTTCTATTTCCTTTTTCAATGCTTCCTTTTCTACTTTTAATTTTTCCGCTTCATCCTTGTTTTTCTGCAGTTCAGTTAGTTTAACTTGTTTTTCTTGTTTTAATAAAATACCTTAGGAAAGATTAAATAATGAAAATAATGGCAAGATGATCATTTTGAAAATTTACTTGTTTAAAATTATTTTTTCAATAGCAATATTTCCATTTATATATGCTATCTAATGTTATTTTCATTAAAAATATAGTCAAAAAATCGATATAATGCGAGTTGAAAAGCCATAACGTCATATTGTGTGTAGGTACATGGAGCTACCACTCATTAATGGGCTTAAAATATTGTTTACCAAAGGAACAGACAAAAGATGGTGACAAGAATTATAAAACTTAACTAAAATATAAGCAGAAGAACATTCAAACAGAACACTAGAATGGTGTGGTATAGTAAGAGTATAGGATCGAATGAATTTATAAAAATGTTATTCAAGCAAAAAAAAATGGTGACTGGCAGTAGCGGCATCAAGTGACTATTTTGCTTCTTTTATGTAGTTTTTTAGTTTTTACGAAATTTTACAAAGCATGATAGACTCATCTTAACTATGATATCAATAAATAGAAATTTAGTTTTGGATATTAATAATTTCAATGAAAAAGTCATCAAAAAATGTATTCCAATGAACGATTTTAGAGCAGATTTCAATTTCAGGAAATCACACCCTGAACGTTCATAAAAACAAAAATTAAAAATAAATATGACGATTTTCATGTTTTTTTTTTTTAAATAATTATTTTGGTTACATGTTTTACTATAAGAAATATATTTCATTTTGTTTATTGACTATTGACAAGGCGCAGTGTGTAGTATGGTATTTTTTATGTTAATGAAAAATAAAAAACAAATTTTCCATAATCCCCCGCCCTCAAGTCAATTAGCCCCCCCCCCCCACCTTTGCAGCTCACGAGCCGCCACTGATGAATGAACAGGCCAATAGTCCCTACACATATGTATATATTTCTTCTCGAGGAATTGTAGTTACTGTTTAATTCCAAAAAGCAAACAAACATTTTACAAATTGAATCTTCATTATGTTTAAATACATTTCCCAGTTATTCATGTTTTTATCAATTCACAAAATTTCTTCGTTCACTATTGCTTATTAATCTATGAACTTCATCAACTTACCCTACAATTAGTTTGTTAATTGGGAAAATATCAAACCTAGATGCTGAAATACATTCAGTCTCTTTTGTGCTCCCCTACCAATATCAAAGCTAAAATCTCATAAGCTCTCACACTATTTAAATTTATTTACCTATAAAAAATGTAATGCCGCCCATGACGACACTATAGTAAATTTTGTAGAGAATTTAAACAAATGTGAAACAAATAATTAAAAACGGGAATACTCAAGGGTATACATATTTATGAATTCCCATTTTTAAGGCCTTCAAATGAATCCGCTTGCTACCTAAAACAAGAAATGAGGGGGTGGTTGTCAATTGAAGGGAATTACCTAAAGGAGAGACAGACTTTTATAGTCAGTTATTTTATCTATTCTTGTGTCCATTTATTCATTTTGTAGAAAAGATCCAATTATTAAAGGCTATAGACATCATATCTTGAATTTAGTATTATGTGAAAACTAAATTGCATAGGTATTGTAGAATTACCTATATTTTAATTTTTTAGCAATAACAGTATTTTTAACAAATTTGGATTTTTATTTGAAGAAAATATACAGAGATAAGATCTCCTTTTTTACTATATTAGCTGATAATGAGTTTATCAGTTATATTATTTCTTCTTATTTATTTTATTAGCTGGCTATATATTTAAAATTAATTTAAGAGATTTTTTAAACAAGATAGAGTAACATTATCAACAATTGAATATGATTATATTTAAATTAGGAGATAAGTGGCTCATTGCTTAAACATGTAACTGAAGGAGTAGGTTTGAATCCCATCAGGCCAGGTTGTTTTTCAAATCAAAAGATGCAATTAGTAAAATAACATAGGTAGTTGTAACAAACTAATAAATAGAAAATCAAAAAGCCAAAAGTGGTCCCAAGACAGTAAAAACATATTTTAAAGAAATTAATCCTTATCATACACATTTTAAGTGGGTATTTGGCAATACATCATTTAAATATTTATCATAATTTAAGTATCTAAAATTCAAACTGTCCTAAATCCAAAAAATTGTTTAAATATTTTTTAAGCAATGGTTCTATAACCACAGAAATATACTTTTAATTTGATTGACTGGATTCGATATTTAAAAGCTTACTTTTTACAGAATATTGACTAGCAAAGTTAATACCTTTTTGACTCATTTCTGCCCTCAATTGTTTGCCAGCCTTTATAAGCTCTGCCCTGCGTTGTGCAGCTTCTCTAGCACTTCGCCCCAATTCAATACAATTGTTGCGACATGACGTTTCGGAAGCGTACTCATCAGTACCATCACAGCAATCACATATACCATCATTTACCCTATTCGCAGGTAGGTTTAATGGCTTATGTCCAGCATTTGTGCAATGAAAAATTCCATGGGGACAAGCAGCCGTTCCTGGCTCATCACTAGCATCTAAACAATCGCAATAATCATCATTCACCCTGTTGAATGGTATAGTTTTGCTTCCATCGAAACATGTAAAGTCTTTGTCAGGTGGGTACAAAGCAGCTCTCGAAAGTGATACACCTCTAGGCCTAGGAACTTCTGATGATAATATTTCACAAAAAAATACAAATATCAGTAAGAATATGTTAATAAAGTTGGTATTTTTATAAAAATTACGGTTCATTTTAACCGGCGATACTCAAACTCTAAAAACCTAACACGCATGCTGATCACAGAACACTTACTCTTAGAACGGTAACTCCCATGTTAAAAAAGGATGATAGAGTTTTTAGCGGCACCTGGTGGACGTGGTTGATTTTTTTTCAATTAAGTCCTTGTCTGGTAAGAGGCCATATGAAAGAAGAGAAAATAATAAAAAGAAGAAAAGCGCGGGGCTATTCAAATTTGACAGTAAAAATTATCCGCATTAAAAACTGTTAGCCAAATTAAGATTTGTTCACACAAATTGCATTTTTGCTTTATTATAGCAAATATCGCTATAATAAAGCAAAAATGCAGTTTGTGTGAACAAATCTTAATTTGGCTAACAGTTTTTAGATAAAAAAAACAAGAATATTCAAAAAATAAATTTATTAAAGAATATATATAATACAAATCCAATATTTAAAAAATGTAATGTATATGAAAATTGTATTATGTATGAAGTAGCTGGATGGCTGCTACATATTCCAGGATACAACACTGTCCATCATTTTGTGAAGAACTTTAGCTGTGAAAAAAGAAAGACAGTATAAGTACAATCTCATTAAAATAAATGTATTAATAAAAAATTATAAGTCCGAGGAATACTTTATTTTTTAATAAGTCCAACATCTACGATACAGCTTTGCAACCCCAAACGTCATGAAACACAAATTTCACAGTATATGCAGCGTTTAAGAATCCACATCAGATGCAACTGAGATGTAGTAAATCTTTGATCACGTGATTCAATTTACGTAAATGTAATGGGACAGATGTGTCCGATTTAAAATAAACTATTTGAGGCGCTGTTCTCCACATCTCGGCAAATGGACTAAAATAATAATTTATAATACTCTTAATATTACCTTATTTTAATTATTGTGCCACTATACTGTATTTGCTCAACCAGAATGAGTTGCAATGATTGCAAAAGTTGCAGAATAGAGGCCTGAGGATAATACTGAGCTGTTCGAGATTGGAACCAATCAATTCCATGTTGAATGTGCTTCAGTGGTTGACTGTTAAAAAATATTTGCTATTCTATTCCCTGCTTTTTATATTTAAAATTAAATCAGGAATCTCCAGAGTATATTTACAAAATATTTTAAGTTATAATCAGGATGTTCATGAACCTAAACAGGTAACAAGAAAAATGTACACAAAATTCAGTGTTTTTTAAAGGTGTACAGGCTTTTAATAATTTGCCTGAGGATATTAAATGTTCTTCAAATGTGGCAATATTTAAAATAAAACTGCATGAATACCTGTTCACCTATTGACGTTTTTTTTTCTCTTTCTTGTTCTTTTATTGTTTTGTATAGTTGACATGTAAGTGTACTGTATCTTATGTATTTTTTATTGCATTTTAAATGTATGTTGATTCTATATTTATGTATTTTTTATATTTTAAACGTGAAGATGTATTGACATGTAAAAAATAGTTTTTTTGACTAAATAAACGTTTTATATATAGGTATGTGGATAAAAAAACGCTCGAGATGTAAAAAATGCATCTGATGTGGATTCTCAAACACAGCAATAAGTATAAAATAAATAAGTACTAACTTTCCTTCTCGAAAAGAAGTCCAACATATATTATTAGTCTGCTTCTTCTTCTACGATACAGCTTTGCAACCCCAAATGTCATGAAACAGAAAATACACAGTATAAGTATAAAATAAATGAGTAGATTACTAACTTTCCTTCTCGAAAAGAAGTCCAACATATATTATTAGTCTGCTTCTTCTTCGAACCTTTACTTGAAGTAGAAGGTGTTTGATCAACATATTCAATTTCTACGTTATTTGAGGAAAGTCCATCCGCTACTCTTCCAGGAACTGCTGGTAGGAATAGCGTTGGAAATGCTTCAGGTGTTAGACCTCGACGAGAGCCAACTACTTTATACTTCTCTTCAAAATGTTTATGACATACTACAAAGGTGGAATAAATTTGTAGTCTTGTTTTATTATTAAATCTTGGACAACAAACAGCAAGTGCACAAATATCAAATAAATCGGGTGAATTCGTAGGGTGAGGCAGGCGATGCATCTTGTTGTCCACAACAAGGCAATTCGGTACACAGTTTCTATAATTACGCATCTTTATGAAAAACCACAAAATAACAGCGGAAAAAGCACAAATTTGTAATGGAAAAACAAGCTTATTAACAGTGGTCAACTAAATCAATTAAGCAAATTGGAAATGAAAACAACTGAATACAACAGTCACCAATATAAATAAACAAAGTTTACGTTTGGTTTAAGCCAAGACGCCATGACACCCCCACAAAAATCAATATTCACCTGTCATTTACACTCCCACCACCCGACTGCAGCGCCACGCGGACGTGGTTGATTGATCCTTGACCTGCGCATACCAGTTTCCCACCCCTGATGCTGATTAAACGTCAAAATTCGGTTAGACACGTCATCCTTCAATATTCACGATTCTTCTGTTTTACCTAATAAAGTGACAGTGTAGGTAATTAGTTCTTTAACAAATTGATTATTATCTATGTATTAAATTATATTGCGTTTCCGTTGGAAAAGTGATACAAAATTTTAATTTATTAAAATGTATTTTATAGACAACTGGATATTAAAAACATTTATTTTTTTACAAGTTCGAACTTTGGATGGCTTATGACGAACAAGATAACTAATGAAGAGGTAACTGAAGAATTCTTCATGTGTCAAGCATGTGACAATTTGACGATTGACGTTTGTTTGTTAATGCCAGTAAATAAATAAAAATATCATTTCTACTTTCTATGGATTATGGATTTCAAATTTATTGTCTTGAAATAATGAATAGGTGAACAAATGATCCGATTCCCCTACAATGGAACTTGATTCTTATCTTAGTATTTATTTCTGCTTAACTATTTTATTCCTTAACCACGCAACAGGTTCGTTTTTGATCAATTATTATTAACAATATACAATAGTTGATGATTTGTGTTTTAGGTACGTTACACGAAAATTTAAAATACTTTGAGACTATTCATGCAAACGAACTACACCATAGAATAGCAAAGCGAGGTTTAAAAGAAAGTTCACACCCTTTTAATCATATTAAAGAAGTTAACTTAAAAACCCATGGTAGAGATTTTAGATTATTTCTCTCTCCAAAAAGGGATATTTTACATTCAAACTTTAAAGCCTATGCCGTGGATGGAGATGGAAAAGAAACTACAGTCCATATAAGTAAGTTTTTTTTTACCAAAAACAACATGTTACTATCAAATCTATTTTAGATAGGGATGATTTTTATCATGGAAGATTATTTGGAGAAACTGATTCTCATGTCAATGTGCATATGGAAGATGGAATACTCACAGGGACAATACATCTACCAGAGGAAACATTTCATATTGAACCTTCTTGGAGACATTTACCAGATTTAAATAATAGATCAATGATCGTTTACAAACAGTCTGATGTTAAATTTAGTTGGGAACATGAGAATCCATCTCATCACCATCCAAGAAGAAAAATTTGTGATTTCATAAAGGAAGGAGCTGAATTGGAGGGAGAAGATGAAGATATAGGGGAAGATGTTCAAAGTCATCAAAGAAAGAAGAGACAAATAGATCAATATGAGTATACACCTACTAAAACTAGGTGTCCTTTACTGTTGGTAGCAGATTATAGGTTTTTCCAGGAGATGGGAGGAAGCAATACAAAAACTACTATTAATTATTTGGTATGTTCTTAATTTCCTTTTATTTATATCGTCGCTCTTATCACAAAGTGAATCTAACCAACAAAAATTAAAAAATGTTTTTTGTGTGGATTAACTAGTCTTGAACGAGGGGCTTTCCACTTCGGCAATAGGTGTACAAATTTTTCGGAAATGTTAAGAAATACTTTAGGCAATGTTGGAATTGTTTCGGCAATGCCGGAAATATTTCGGCAATGCCGGCAATACTGGCATTGTTTTATAAATACACGGCATTGTTTAGGAAATGGACGGTATTGTCTCGGAAATGCAAGGCAATAGCCCCGTTTTCTAATAAGTGTTTAGAGGAGTGGTGCATAAACTGTGTAGAATGGAAAGATGTAAAATTAATGATAAAACGATGGCAGTACTCTACGACCAAGGATGGGAGTTGGGTAGAATTATAAAAATCGAGAAAGAACGGCGTCTTATCAAATTTCTTAAAGAAGACTTAAATTTCTTTATTTGGCCAAAAAACGATTTAATTTTTGAAGTTGAGAAAACTTTATATTTTATGGGCCTCTCCATTTAGAGGGGACGCATCCTTTCAACCTCAAAAGGTATGAGAAAAATTAATATACAAAAATTATTTCGAAATATTAAAAGTACCTAATCCAAAAAATACATTGGTAAGTAAAGCGAATCAAAATTTTAACTATAATTATTTATAGTTTTCTCAAATTTTTTTTAATTTTCTTTAATTATTTATAGTCTCTTGTTATTTCAATGTATTTGTAGCTGTAATTATTCTTCAGTATTTAAAAAGTCTTTGTTTTAAATGAGTTATAAAAATAAATGTTATTTTTGTATAATGTCCAGTTTTAGTATCCTTTATTCCAATTTGGAATTATTGTAATGAAAGCAGCTTCAAAGAATTGTTACTTGATTTTTATTAAAAATTAAAATTAAAACCTAACAAGTGACTGCCTAACTAATTATTACAGGCTTTTTCCAATTATTTTGTACAACCTATAGTATCGCTTCTGTAAATGTTTAGAGTTTTAGAGGATGAAATAAATACATATATTTTCCACACACATAGTAATAATAATATTCTCCCTAATTCATCCCCTTATGAGTGAATTTCAACCCCTGAAGTCAACTGAACGACTTGTGTAGGAGAAGGGACGGCTATTATTATTATTATTATTTGCCGTGGCGCTCCGGGGTGACTTAAAGATGATTGATGGTGCCATTTGACTTACAGGTGAAGAAAACCCGAAAAACCTCACCCACCATCATTGAGACGGTAATGCATGGCGATTTTATAATCTGCATGTCATATCAACAGAAATTGAATTTCTATTAATATGACACACATCAAATCCTATACCTACCAAACAATGCAAACTTTCAAAAAAACATAAAGCATAAACTAAAAACAATGTTCTCAGGAAAAATCAAGCTTTACAATGGGACGAAGCTTATTGATTGTTAAAAAAATCTGTATAAAATTACTCGAAAAATTTTTTTAATGCGTTTTTTCTCCATCCTCAAATATCTCGAATATGGTCCATTTTAGGGAAATCATGTATAGAATAAAAATTATAGAGAATGACAAGCGACTATTATTTGAACAATTTCTCGAATACGGACTATTTTAGGATAATTATGTATACGGAAAATATAGAGAATGATATTGCAAACAACTTTTATTTGAAGAATTTTCTTCTCCATTCGTAAAAAAAAGATATTCTTTAAAGTAAAAAAGACACCCTATAAACTACCCCAAAATGCTTCGATTATGCCCAAAATTTAATTAGTGCACCGCAGGACGAATTAAAACTTTAAGCTCTAGCTGTATAGGATAAAAATTATAGAGAATGACATCACAAGAAACTTTTATTTAAACAATTTTCTTAAAAATTAGAATTTTGCACTTTTTGTCAAACTCGACTATGGAAAATTATGTATGGGGCAAAAAATGACATAACAAGTAATTTTTATTAGAAAAATTTTCTTCGCCATGCGTAAATAACAAATATATTCTATAAAGTAGAAAAACGACCGTGTATAAAGTACTCTCCCCCGGATGATCCGATTATTTCCAAAATTTAATCAGCTTACCACAGGGGAGATTAAAGCTTAAATTTAAAATTTGGCGTTTTTCTCTTAATCCGTTCATGAGTTATCGAGTATACAGACACACATGCACAGAGACAAAATTGCGAAAATAACCACAACGAATTCAGGGGACCCCAAAACGTCAAAATCCGTCGCAAAAAATCATGACTCCTATACTTTCCTTATCTGTATACAGTTAGGAAAGTAAAAATGTCGTAACGAACATACATTTTCATAATTTTAGCTTCCTGGAGTAAAAAGAATAATTCGATAATACAATACGTAAAGTCGGCAATGTGTAAGAAATGCTGACAGTGGTTCGGAAATGCCGGCAGTAGTTCGCAAATGCCGGCAATGGCTCGGGAATGCCGGCAATAGTTGAGAAATGTTTCGGCAATGCAGGAAATCTTTCAGAAATGCCGGCATTGTTCACGAAATACGGCAATAGGTGTACAAATTTTAAACAGTGGAAAGCCCCTCGGTCTTGATCTACTTTATCATCTCATGAAGTGGCATATCTACCACCTTAATAGTGCATGCAATACAGCATAATACTTCTGTGTCCTATCTGCAATAACACAGTATATTTTCCTCACGAACTGTTCTAAGTGACTTTAGGTATCTTCGTGAAGTAAAAAAATATGTAATCCATGTTTATTTTGTGACTACATCAACAACTTCAAGAACGTATTTACATTATGACTTATCCTTGCCCAAGATGTACAATATGTTTTTAGAATTAATGTTCCCTCTATATAACTTACTTTCAAGGAGATATTACTGCATAAGAAAATTTAAAAGACAAGTACTCCCAGCATATTGCAGAGGAGTAAAAAGTTCAAGAGTTTAAAGCTGTAGACAAAAAAAGAACAATAGGTAACACATCATTTCTCTGTGGAGTTTTCAATTTACAACAAGTTATATACTTGCCAAGAAGCAAAGAGAATGCTATTTACTGCAAAAGAAGATTAAGAACATTTAACTTTACTTTTTACAATATTGGTACCAAAGAATGTCTTTGCTTTTCATTGAATAAAACTTTGAGTAAGAGAGGTTCTTCTGAATTTTCTACATGTATTTATAATAATAATAATAATCTTTATTTCTAAAAATAATGTTGACAATGTATAAACATAAATAAAATTATAGTGAAATGACGTCACAAATTTACTATCTAATGATGACTTAATTAAAGTTATAATTTAGGTATTCCGACGTGCTATAAGGTTCCATGCCAATCAATAATTCTCGTATGCGTTTTTTGAAACATTTAATACTGTTAATGGTTTTTATGTTCTCTGGTAATGCATTATACAATTTTATGCACATGTAATGAGAGTTTTTCTCTGTTAACGTGAGTCGGTGATATGGATACATGAGTTCCCTGCTTCTTATATTATAAACTGGTATTAATTCACTGATAAATTTGTTTTTATTTTTCATTACGAACAATAGACATTCATATATATATATATATATATATATATATATATATATATATATATATATATATATATATATATATATATATATATTGTCATTATGCTTTCTTTAAAAATTGACATACATGACTCTCTGAAACTGATTTTGTTTATAGTTCTTAACACTCTTTTTTGTATTACAAAAATTCTTGTAACTTCTGAGCTTCCGCCCCAAAACAATATGCCATATTTGCATACCGCTTCAAAACTACCCGAGTAAATTATTTTGACAGATTTTTTATGCAAATATTTACTAGTGATTCGAAACCCATATGCTAACCTACTTAATAGAAAGGTTATTTATGTGATTCAACCAGCTAAGATATTCGTCCAGATGGACTCCAAGAAATTTTGTGCTATTTCTTAAATCCAGCTCTTGATTGCACAAGGAAACATTATTTGGTCTATTTATTTGCCTATATTTGGATCTGAATAATATTAATTGAGTTTTCTCTGCATTCATTACCAGCTTATTTTGTGAAAACCATTCCTTTGTTATTTGTAAAAGTGAATTACTATTGATCACTGCCTCTGGTATTGTTTCCCCTCCCACTAGTAGGTTGGAGTCATCTACATAATTTGTTATTATTTGTTTTGTGTTAGTTGGTACTGATGATAATTAATTTAAGTAAATTATAAATAATAGTGGTCCCATAATGCTTCCTTGTGGAATCCCTACTGTGGTATTTTCCCGATTGAAAGTGCTTTCCCTTATTATATTATAAATCTTTGGAATATTTTAAGAATAAAGACCAAATTACTACCCTTTTTCTACTCTGATGGCTGCTATGGCTAGAATAAAAATCTTTTGATAATTGCTAAAAAATATCACTAAGGTTTTTCGAAACAAACCATGGGCAGAGTGCAGGGGACTCTGCCCATAGTACAATAAATACTGCCATAATAGGTGCTAGGGATCTGTTTGAACCCTCACAACGGTACCCATTTTTTCGATTGGCCAGAAGAAAACCTTGGCTCGTCATTCCAACGAAGTACTCAGATTTCTTGGATTTTAAAAAACTGTTAAAATCTATAAGAATTCTATCAATTAGAGAAAGTGCGCCAAGAGAAAATTTAAAATGGACTGAGATTATGGAATTTATGGTCCGAAGAGACATGCCTTCTAATTTCTTTTTCAAACGAAGTCGTTACCATAAAGAGTATGACAGTATTGAAATAAAAAGACTGACAAAATATTTGTGATATTAAATTAGAACCTCTTAACACAGAACTAGTAAAACTAACAAGCAAGAAGTATTCTGATCTAATCTTCGTAAGTCAAACGCCCGTGGTTCGATTACTTGAATTCCAGTAATATTATCAGGAATTACCTCATGAAGAATGATAGTTTTAAATGCAATTTCAACTATTTTTAATCATTAGTTTTCAGTTATGTTTATTTTTCTTAATAAAAACATTAAACATATTTTTTATTTATTTGTCATTTTCTAAACCTATACTAAATATAATCACAGGCAGATAAAACATACATAATATTGCATTAAAAACAATGACAACTAAACTAATAAAATATACTTAATTAAGGTATATCTGATAAAGTGAGAAAATTATAACTATTTAAGTCCCGAGAGAGTTTGGCTAATCTGGAATTACCAAACAATAAAACAAGGCCTTAACATTCCATGATAAAATTTTGAAAGTGCAAATTTTAAATCCCTCTATATTATGTCGATCTGAGAATTATGTATTTTTGTTTTATTGCTTTCCTGTAAAATTTACTATATTTGCTACTTATGCCACTTTGCGATAAGGGCAACGATATGTACGTAAATGTCAGTCATAACCCACAGGTTTCTAAAAAGACAATAATTATAAAATTATTTTTAATATATCTTGAAGAATGCTATAATTATTTTATAAGGTAGGACAAATTAATTAATCAATTATCTATTTAGATTAGCTTGATAGACAGAGTTCACAAAATATACAATGACACAAGTTGGCAAGACAGACAAGAAGTTGATGGTTTTAAAGGAATGGGATTTGTTATTAAAAAAATTGTAGTCCATAGTGATCCAACCAGGATTAAATCTGGTGAAGCTCACTACAATATGATTAGAGAAAAATGGGACGTAAGAAATCTCTTAGAGGTAAGTTCAGAATTAGTTCAGGATTCTCACTGCGAAAAAAGCTAATATATTTTATTTAATAGTCATAAATAAAATATTTTTAACATATATCTCAGGTTTCATTTTTATATGCAGTTGAATGTAGTTTGAAAAACTTCTAAAATGACTCTTAAATGTCATCAAATCAGTTTTAACATGCTATACCATTCAATTTTTATGAATTAGTTCTCTTTATAAAATATTTTAAAAATACTGATTTGAGTACTTATAGTTTGTAGAAATTACTGTTTACTCTTCATTTAGTACAATTTTAAATTTTAATGCCTTCACAAAATTAACCATTTAAACAATTGTTTTTTTTTTAAAGAAGGAGGTATAGATTACATGAAGTTATGGCCTGCCATAAATCTTCGTCATATTATGTTATAAAGTTACTCTTAATTAAATAAAAATTTGTAAAATATTAGGATGATCGTATGTCTGTAATAGAACATACATATGCTCCAAGAACTTAATCTGTCAGCACTATATTTTTGCTCATAACTCGAAAAGTATTTGACATTTAAATGAACTTATTCTCATTTGATAGATGAGTTAATACCCTAAAAAAGCTATGTATTTATTATTATACAGGGTGTTACATGTAATCCACTTAAAAGGTTTAATTGGAAATGATCATCGCAAATATAACAGTTCAAACGAAACTCCATATCATTTTTAAAAACATGGTAATAGTACAAAATTAGCAAACTCTATAATTTGTTAAACATTAGTGGTTTTTGTAAATGTCAAAAGCAAAGCCAGCTTGGATAAAGTTCTGTCTCAGTAATATACAGAGCCAAATTTAAACAGTTATATGTCAATTTTTCAAATTTAAAATGAGAGGTCTATTTGGTAAAGTTGTAGATCAGAAACAGCGAAACTTTATTAGATATAAAAAAGATGATTAAACTTATTTGCTTTTAAGAACCAATGTTGTTATTAAGAAAATTCTGAATTAAATAATTACTTTATTTTAGCTAAATGGTCATCCGAAATGTTTTAAAAAATAACTTAAATTGTGTTGTTCCAAATACTTCGTCTCTGTATTTAGCATATTATTGTAGTATTAAAATATAAGTTAATATTAATTTATTTAACGGATATTGACTGGAATAACTTCCCTACAACCTATGTAAGTATGGGCGTGTGGAGGAGGCATTCGCCACCTTGGCTTTTTATTTTGTTAATTCATTATTTTTTTGTTGTATATACATATACAATTACTTAATGACTAACTGAAATGTTTTTTATTGTCCCACTCCTGATTTTTTTTCTTGTGGATGCCTATGTATGTGAGTAACCTATCAATGTACTTAGTCCAACAATGATATGTAGAGTAGGTATGTTTGTTTCTTCTATAAACAACAGCTTGTATCGAATAATACCGAATACAAAAACTATTTCAACTAATAATTAACATTTGTTTTTGACTATACGTTAATAAAGGAGTATAATAGTATAACACCCTATATAAAAATTAAAAAAAAAAATTGGTGTTTTAGAGTATTAAATTACCTATCAAACGAGAACATAATCGTTAAAAAACTGTCAAATAATTTTTCAGTTATGAGCAATAGCGGACCTAAGTTATTTGAACGGAACCATCTTTTATCACAAACATACGATCCTCATATTATTACATAATTTTCACTTAAGTGAGGTAACTTGAAAATATTTAAATATGGTAAAAATTTACGACAGGCCATAACTCCATGTAATCCATGCCTCGTCCTTTAAAATTTCATCAAAAATAACAAAATGCATGTACATTTTACATTTTTTTTAAGAATTTTATTGTTGTGTACTAAAGAAACATTTGCTGCGTTTGAATATCCACATGGGATGCATCTGAGATATTGTAACTCTTTGATCATGAGATTCAATATACGTAAATGTAGTAGGTCCGATGTGGATAAAGAAACGCTCAAGATGTAAAAAATGCATCAGATGAGGATATTCAAACGTAGCAATAAAATGCCAATTTACTTCGTTTAATATTTTTTTTAGGATATGTAGTTATTTTATAAACTTTATGTAAATAGTGGTTGTGCTAACATTTTTATTATTTCAAAAGAAAATCTGTTGTTCTCCATTATAAACAGGGTTGCCACCTTCCTTTAAACATATTTATTTGTAAATATACTGTTTGCTAATACCTGTAATATAGAATGATGGTTAGTAAGCTGATCTTAATTTTCCACAATTTTTTAAAATCACAGTTTGTTCAAATCCGTTGGCAATGCTTTATAATTTAAAACTGTAAATTTTAGGATCATTCTTTATTTGTCTATTTAATTAGAATTTAGAAGCAAATTGATATTAAAATACTACATTATATAAGTAGCCAATAGAATAACTACAAATTGTTGTAATGTTGTCAAATATTATACCTGGGCGAATATTTTTAAAACACATTTATATTCTTCTTATAATGTGTAGATAGTTTCAAAATGCCAGAAAAATAGATATGAACAAATTTTTAGATTATAGTTTTAGTTTCAAACTGCCATATTAAAAGTCTCACCCCCTTGGCTTATTGAGGAACATAATTATTTTCCAAACGTTTTATATGTGCTACTAAATGTAATCAAGGGGTCTAGGGTTGTCATTTCTAGTACAGATAAATATAATTTATTATAGGGAAGTCACATTAATACTCACTTTTTCAATGACCATTTCCACAACAATTCCAGTTTTGTAGGAAAGAATGCACGATTTTTCTGATTTAATTATTTTTATCTTATACACTAAAAAACGATGTAAAATAGAAATGTCCCCACTTTATGAAATATACACCCACCTAACTAACAATGAATATGGTATAAATTTAACAGTTCTACCAAAGTTCTACTTTCCTATGAAGAGTATAAGATACTTTTTACTTCTTCTTTAACAAAAAACTTCAACATTGGCAACATAGAAATAATATAGAAGACCAATATAAACATAACATTTAAGCAGAAATTGAAACCTACTGTGCATAAAAACGCGTCTCTGCGTCTGACATCGCAAAATAGTGTGTCTAGAAGCTTGCGCAATATGCATGACTTGTCCCTGTAGTGTTGCCAAATATATTAAACATTCCTAACAGAAAAGAATTTTAAATTAATTAATTTTTAAATTATATGATTTAAACAGTTTATATCTACGAAATATCGCCACAAAATAACTTATACACATTTAAAAAATCAACTAATAATATTTATGTGTAATTACATTCCCAAAAATATATACAAATACCGTATTAATGTCATTAATACCGTATTTTTAATGTTCAATAAGCGATTCACCTACAAATTCAATATTGACCTGGCAATAGCACTAAAATCCGGTGTTTCAAGGCTATATGACGCTGCCCTTACAGGACCGTTTGTAGTTTATTATTTATGCCGCGTTTGAGAATCCACATCGGATGCATCTGAGATGTAGTAAGTAGTAAATCTTTGATCACGTGATTCAGTATACGTAAATGTAATGGGACAAATGTGTCCGATGTGGATAAAAAACGCTCGAGATGTAAAAAATGCATCCGATGTGGATTCTCAAACGCGGCATTAATTATTACACGATGAAAGTGGCATTTTATTTTTAGTTTTGTGTAGTGTTTAGTCAAATCCTAGGTACAATAAAAGACATTTTTACATTGGCTAATGAAAATGTAATCAATGTATTAGGCAGCTGTTATATTTATTACAAGATTTATGTCTGCAAATCTAAACCTACCTAAGAATTATAATTATGTAAATAGAGAGCTGTATATTTATATACAGGCTGCCCAGCGACGGGGAGACATTATCGATATCGGTTTTAAGGCATTTTAAAACATAAACCCGATCTCAACAATCTTAGGAACTCTTCTGTCACTCGATATTTTAATCGGTACTTCCTCTTCGCTTTTTGGCTGGCACAACAATTATTTACATTTCTTCATTCCTTACCGCGTTCGAACCAGTAAGGTTTAAATAAATTTAAAAAAACCTACTTTAAAAATAAAGATGTTAATGATTTTCTTATGGATCCCATCTTCAGATCTTGACTTAATGTATATAAAACTGTTTTCTTTTCTAACAAAAATAATCCTAGAAATCGGGCAACGTGGTAAAGAATTATCGCTCAACATACATAAAAAAATATTTCAACGAATTGAGAATATCCTACCATTTTGAAGTGTGTTAAAAAAAAATTGTTAATAAAGTGAAAAGTAGGGCATGAACATATATTATAAATTATATAAAATAATAGATAAATCCAGTTTAAATAAACTGTGGAAATATCGAGAATCTCGATTTTGAATCGGAAAAATATTCTACGCAATTTAGTATGAAAGCTGATCAAAATGAAACACATGAACGACAAACTGTTATTGACAACTTTCTTCAAACGTTTTCTATTTTTCCGAAAACTAACTAGATAGTTCGAAAATCATTTCATTCGTTAAAACGCCTCTTGTTCCGAAAAAGGTACACGCCTGCCAACATTCATCGTTCATTAAAAAAGTGGTAGATACAAAACGTTTCGTATTGTAAGGCCAAAATATATTTAGAAATCGAAATAGTCATATAAACAAAAAAATCATATGAGTGAGATAACTACCAAATTAATGATTTACAAGTTTATTCCTATTATTTATAAAATAGGTTTGCAATGTGCTGGTGTGGAATGTTATCATCGACTAAAAACTTTAAATCTTTGCATTAAATTGATCGAAAACAAACTATAAATTGGTTTAGGCTATATAGAATGTTTCTAGTAAGCAGCAACTAATTTTTATTATGGAACCGAAAGACCCTTTTAAAAAGGTTCAAAATTAAAATAAAATATGTACCAAGTAAATGTAGTAGTATTTTTTAATTTTTTAATTTATGTTGAAAATGGTAACATGAAAGGTTTTCTGTCTAACGACTCATAGTCTCGGCTGACAAAATGTAAAAAAATATCGAACATAATATTCCTGGGCCCTATTTTGCACTCCCCAGATTAAATTTAGTTGTAGCAAATGATATTATCAAATAAGATGTCAAATCACAAGCAAAATCTCGTGACTACAGTACTAATGATTGCCTGTTTGGAAAAGTATCTTTGTTTCTAAATATTTATAAGCATAGTTATATTTAAATGCGCGAGTGTAATGTTAAGTATAAACAAAATCCGCCCATTATGTATATACGTTTAGTTACCGACCCTAGTAGATAGGCAATTTGTTATTGTTTTAAGTTTTACCATAGGGAGAGAGAAAATCAATATTAGGATAAATGGTCCAGCTCCTTTCTGGTTACGTAGGTACCTAAAAAGTATTTTAGTTTTTGGTTAAGTAATTAATTATTGTAACAGTGATTTTCTTGTGATAGTACCTAATTTAGATTGTGGATTAAAGTTTTTGTATATAATTTCGCTGTTTAATAATAAACGTAGTCAAAACCGGAGCACGTGGTTTTTCTGGAAAGTATTTTTAAAATCACAAGCAAAATCTCATGACTACTGTACTAATGATTGCCGAAAATTAACTAATTCATATTTTATGCCATATCTTTCTTAATAAGGACTGTCAGAACCATATTTACCTTAACTTGAAATTTTTTTAATCGTTTTTTGTATAGAATCATCTCTAAAAATGTATGATTGAAATATCGTGCGAACTATTTGTTCGATAAATAAAAAACTTGCACCGGTCCTGTTCGCGCCAGCACCGTTATACGTATGAGCTCCGACACACTATTTTCTCCTTATGGTTTCATTTTTGATATATGGAATCGGCTTTCTATACTATTTCTATGATTGGCACCCTGTTTACCGTGAATATTCAGAAACAATGGGATTATGTGGTAGATATCATTGTCAGAGTGGGGAATTTTTTTTTCTCGTTATAGGGGCACTCCAAACACTCACACCATTTTATTGGTCGAATAAAATAACTTATCAACTATTAAAATTTTCAAATTACAGAGTATTTTGAGAGGTTGTGATGTTACCTCTAATGAAACGAAACAAACATTGTGAAATTATTACAAAAAAACAAAACAAAATTGTTTCAACTTTGACACCCTGCAGCTTTGTTATTATTTAATATTTCATTGAAGCCTGTTTTCCTTTTTTTATATTTGATACTCTTTCATTTTCCACAATAATTGTTTTAACTTCTTAGAAACTCATTAATTACTCACAAACATTTTTCCGTTCCATCTACTGTATGCACTGGAAAATGTTAGTGAATATACTTTTTTATTTAGTTATATTCCGCTTAAAAAAAAATCAGATTCAAAAGAAAAACAAGAAATAAAAAATACATCGATCTACTTGTTATTGTATACAGCCACCGTCGCTGATCTGTATTAGAGACGTTGCGCCACGTCCATGAATACGTCGATGCATTTTCATGTCACGTTCTATTGCATTTTATTGCTTGTTAAAAAGTGACAGAGATAACAGTCTAAGACATATGGCAAAGCACTACAAGTTTGAACCGGACAGGTTAGCTCGGATGTTAGATGTAAAATGATTTACTTAAGTTTTGAATCTGGTTTTATTAAAAAAGGTTTAAATACAATACTTCAAATGTAAGTATTGTAATTTACCTCTGAGCCAATTGATCTTAAGTATTATATATTATGGTGTTTAGTAACAATTATATATTTTAAACATTTTATTTGCATAATTTGTATAATGAAAATAATTCTTTCAATATATGGCAACTCTGTTACACATTCTATTGTAGGTTAATGACGGATTTCAGTATAAGTATTTTGTAAATAATGATATTTTCCTATGGACTATTTAACAAGACAATTAATGATGATTTATTATATTCAATATTTTTCTTTTCATTTAGTTACTCTTATTAATATCATCGTTTTATCTACTATTATTAATTTAAATTTATGTAAAACAATTTTTTTCATTTACTACAAAAAAAATTCACGTATGTTGTACAAACACTATTTTCAAAAGTGCTATCCGACCACATTTTTTTTTATATTTTCCCTTTAGGCGTTTTCGAGAACACCCGATAATCAAGATTTTTGTTTGGCTCATTTATTCACCCACCAGACCTTTAAAACTAGCAATTCTGTAGTGCTCGGCTTGGCGTACATTGCATCCGCTAGATTGAACACCAGAGGCGGGATATGTAGCAAGGGTTGTTATTTTTATAATTTTGATTTATTTAGAATATTATTTTTATATAGTTTTCCAAATTTTAAATCTCAAATCTATTGTTATCAAGGGGAGCTAAAATAGAGTGTGTCTATAATTATTAAGATCACTAACAATTTAACAAAAAAGTTTTAGTGCCACTTTACAGTTCGCATTTGACGACATAAGTGGATAAAGGGCTTATGTACATTTTTTGAATCGATGTTTTTGCCTTAATAAAGGGGGTATATACCTAAAACTCATTCTAGCTATGATCTGTTGTAATATTCTTTCAAATAAAATGTTATCAGGGAATAAAGAACATAATAATATGTTCTATGGTGAACTATTCAAATAAGAAACTTTAAACTCAAATAACTATAAAGTATGTTTCTGTTAAGTAGGCTCATATTGAGCGCAAATGAAATTGCTGCCTGCATTACATTTTGCAATTTATTGCAAACAGTTCGCCATCTTAAGTCACTAAACAGGGGACCAATTTAGTTGACAGGTTCGCTAATATATCAAGCAAATGGGAAAAAATATACTATTCAACCATTAAATAAAACATACATTTACGGAATTTTCAATTTGTAAATTATATCTTATGATGAGTTGAATAAAGTTTAATAGGAACAATCATCAGACACAGATTTATGCGCGACGAGTGATAGTGGTCTCTTGTCTGATATGTGCATATTCCTATTATAGCTTGTTAAACTAAATTGTAAGGTATATTTTTGTGTTAAAAATTATGTACCTGTAAGTTAGCTTACGCTTAATTCAGCCATTTTTTCACGAGAATTGCATCTCCAATACGATTTGCGGCATTACATTTTTAATCCATAGCCACAGAGTACATATTCTGTGCCATAGCTATTAAAGAATTGCAACAGCTGTCGAAAGTAAGGAAAATTACGAACTATAAAGTGGCTTTTAGATTTCCATTTTGAAATAGCTGCTTGGCACGGCTCATCCATCGAAATTAAAAATATATATATAAATATTTTTATTATTTTTTAATTTGGAAAACTATCGTTTTATTTTAGTTTAGTTTTCTTTTTTCTCCACATGCTTTTTCTCTTCTCTGGTGGTGGTTAGACTATTGTAAATTTAATTTTACTTTTTTTTTAAACGTAGTTACACAAAAATATACATGAAATTGTAGAAGATCGACAGGGAGATGATGATATAAATAATGAAGAGAAATGATAATATCAAACAGTACTATAGTAACTTAATTCGTATTATAGTAATTTAAATTTTATCACTTAATTCTTACTTTTTATCCCCCATCTTATAATGTTTTCTGTATTTTATTTTATATTTGAATGCATTCGCTTTTCCATTATAACTATAAAATGGTATGATATTATACAGGGTATTTCTTAAGTTATAACCAGTTTCATATGAAAATCGTATTGATTTCAATAACCTGTATAGTGCAAAAGAAACAATTGGAAACCATTTTTTGCGGTAAAAGGTTTTCGATATTAGACAACATTTATGCCGATACACTACTTTTTTCAATTAGAAACAAATATGTACAGGGTGAATCAAAACTCATTTACTGTTTTTTTTTACTGTTGGGGGATAGGCGCTTTCCCCGTAAATTTTTTAATATAATTCCATTGACTGTAGTAAACTGTTGAACGATAGATTGCTGGATTTCTTTCGTTGATGTAAAAATTAACACCATTTAATCTTGGAAAATCATACTAAACTTTTACATCACGAAATTAAACCCTTTTTACATTCGTAGTAAAGCTCTGTCTTACGAAAATAAATCATATTTTTGCCAGTGTTTCGTCTTTTTAAAATTAGTATAATAAAGTTAACATGGCGACCTGACGCCTGTTCAAGAAAAGCAGGTAAAAATCTAGCGAAGTGATTGGTTTGAGAGAGAAGTAGCTTCGGGGTTAAATGCCGGTGGAGACGAAACCGCACAGAAAGCGCTTGGCTTGCTAAGATGCTTCTGGCCAATCACCATGAAAGAAACTATCCACATGGTGGCTTTCTATTGGCCACTATGCATGCCAGAGTTGGCTTTTAAAATTTATACGTGCCACTGTTGGCTTTAAGATTTTTATGTATTATATTGAAGCATCTTCAACAAGTACCTTAATTAAAGTTTAATTTGAGTTAAGCATTCCCTATACCTAAAGTTAATAATTTTCAGATATTTTTAAATTTAAATGAGAAAAACAAATTATTCAGAAAATACTCTATTTTTAACTGGTTACTGATTAATAGGAATTAGACTGTTTGTTAATTGTAATTAGAATTTAAACAGCTGTCATTTATTATCGACTGAATTAACTTTGGACAATACCTAATGAGTCTTTTAGATTCAGTAAAAAAATAAATAAAAATAGCAACCGAAAACTTCACTACTTTATTCTAAGTTTATTATGTGTTATTTTAACGGATTTTGTTTAATTAGAAAAATTTATCTAAGTAGCCTTCAATAATATTTATAGAGGTCTTAAGGTGGTTTTCAAAGGTCCAATTCACATTTCTGCATTTTTATAAGAGTCGAAATACTTCTCTTATTCATGACAAAAGGTCATACTTCAAACTGGCTAGACTTAAAAAAATATATAGCAACACTAATGACTTTAGTAATTACGAATTATCAGTACCTATTGAGGTTTCAAAGTGAACTTAAAAATATAATAAACTAAGAATACAGTAGGTATTATAATGAAGCGAATCTAGAATTGGTTGCTATTAGTATTTATTTTTAACTGAATTTTAGTCTTATTTTAAACTGTCAAAAAACTTTTTTAGTCGATAATAAATTACAGCTGGTTAAATTCTAATCACTAATTAACAAACAGTCTATTTCTTGTTGTTTTTTTTTGTAATTTAAATTTAAAAATCTCCCAAGATTGTTATCTTTAAGCATAGGGAATGCTTAACTCAAATGAAACTTTATTTAAGGTTCTTTTAAATGGTTATATAAAATACAGGGTGGTCAATTACAAAAATGAGAAAATTATGTATCTGAGTTTTGACTCACCCTGTACAGATTTGTTTCTAATTAAAAAAAGTAATGCATCGGCATACATTTTAACTAATATCGAAAACCTTTTACACTTTTGCACTATACCTACAGGTCAATGAAATCAATACGATTCTCATATAAAACTGGTTGTAGCGTGTGAAATAACCTGTATAATCTCATACTATTTGTTATTGTTATAATGGGAAAAGGAAGGGAATTCAAATATAAAATAAAATACAGGGTGTCCCGTTTAAAGAAATCTAACTTTGACATGAATCCTGGAGAACCCTGTAATATTGAAATTATTTTTAAATTGTTAACTTTTCTGATATACATCTTGCTGTGAAAAGAGATAAACTGTATACAGGGTGAAATTTTCGATATGAACTGCTCTAATGTTATTAAAGCCGGTCCTGGAGTTTGTCTGGAGTAAATAAATTTAATTAACATGTAAATATAGCTTTAAATAAACTATTTTTTGTGCCAATTCAGAAATTAGTTGCATTTGACATTCCTTTTTAAGGGATTCATATATAATGGAAGTATGTAAAATTCCTCGTAACTCATCCTGTATTTATTTAGAAATATCTGCTGCAAAATTTTAAAGAAATAATAAATCGTACAAATAATACTTGCACCAATTTTTAGTCTCAATTCCAGTGTTTGAAATTATGATCACGTTATCGACGAAGACAAGAGTATTTATGTACATAAAAAAGTGCTTTTTGTATCATAGAGATATCACGGGAACTCAAGTTCTATTTTGTTTTAATAATAATAAAATACTTTGGCAAAATATAAAATGTAAAATAATAATAATAATAATAATAAGTAGTATTCTGTGAGTAAGACACAACAAACAAAAAGAGCTTGCCTGGGCCTGTACCTGCGTCGCGGTAGGTAATCGTACTCGACATTCGTCAGCTGTAGGAATCAGAAAAGTACTTGAAATTTTTCGAGTATTAAGGATGAAAATACCAACTACTGAGTATTTTGAGTAGTCAAGTATAATTTTGAATTTTGAGTACAATTTACTCGAGTACTGCTCAGCTCTGAACACAATCACTTGGCTAACTCAAAAGGTTTCACGCTCTTGCGTCTTCTTCTCATCGGCCAATTATGGGCGGAGTTATCACATTATTTTCTATGTATAATCAGAATCATGTTCATTTATATTTTTGTGGCCATTCTTGCTATATTCAACACTATGCAATACACCGATCTGTTCCATGTATTTTATGTATACTAACTTTTCATTTTCAACTTATATGCTAACTGTTATTCCGTTACTCATTGAACTAACTTTGGTGGTTAGGTATTCAGCAGGGAATATACTCACAAAGATTTCTGCTTGGCCCATCTCTTTACCGACCTTAAGTTCGAAGGTGGTATCTTGGGTCTGGCTTATGTGGGCTCGCCTAGACGCAACTCCGTAGGTGGCATTTGCACCCCAGGTATTTATGGGTGCTTTTTTGCCGTGTTGCTTGGTTGCTACTGTACTCAAGTGTCTCAGTTTGGTAAAGCGCCCAACACCGTTAAGTATAATTTATAACCACCGTAACTTAACTTAACGCCGTAGAAACTTAACCTAAGATATAAAAATAAAGTCTATTTATAAATGTCCGTAACGTAAGAATTGAGCATGCGTGTTGTATTTCAAAAATTGTCAACTTACTGACAACCTTATGAAATAAACAAGGGTAAACTATGTACCTAACCTCTAAATAAAACTTATAAATTATGATTTTGCTATATAGAAAGAATATATTAACTACTTTAAAAGCAATGATATAAAAATATAATAAAACAGAATAGTTTACCGAAGATGTTGATTGTTTTTGAGCAATAATGAGAATTTAATCTTTCCTAGCTAACTAGTTTTGTGTCTTATTTCAGTTCTAGACTTAATGTTTATAGGTATATGCAGCAACACTCATATCTCATAAATAGTTTATCCCCAATAACATAAACACAAATCATTAATGATAATGTATGTCCATAAAAAAGGAGAATGATAGTTTACAAATGGTATATTTGTCCATTCATTTATAAAAAGAAATAAAAAGAGAATAATTGACAGTTATCACATGCTGAACTCAGAATTATCTCATTGGCTAACCGTAAGGTCTTAAATTAAGTTAAGTTGTTAAGTTAAAAGTTGGCGAACTTTCTACGGTACGTTAAGTTCTTAAGTTACGTTACGAACATTATAAATAAGTATACGTAAATTCAATATTTCAACTTCTTACGTTAAGTTCTTAAGTTACGTTACGACGGTTATAAATTAAGCTTTAGAAATAAAATAAATTTGTCACTAACCTAACCTCTCATTTTACATAATTGGTTATAAACCATTATAATATAAAAAGTGACACGTCGTCTTTTTTGCTGTCATTTTGTAGTTGGATACAGGAGTGCGTTTAGAAACCACGCACGGCGCGTCTGGACCCTATTCTAATGTATGTGGTGAGACGCGCCGTGCGGGGTTTCTAAACGCACTCCTGGGGAGGGAGGTGAACAACATGTCTTGGTGAAATTCAAAGTAAAATTGCTTCCAGACGTTGATAACGATAACAAATCGGTTTTGCAACTTCCATTTTTTTGTGACGGGAAAAAATTGTAATCTGACGAAAAGTGACATGTTTTTGAAATTCGAAACCAAAGTCGAAAAGTGGTATCATTAGCTCTTAAACTGTTTGTAAGTCTCTCCACTAAGAGTATTATTCTTTTTTTATTCAGTAGTTCTACCCCATTTAGCCTTTTATTACACCAGGTTTTCAAAAGAAAAAAAAATGTCAAAGTACTCACTTTAAAAAATCTAGCACCCCTGTATTATTCAAAAATAAATTTTACGATAAGAGCAACTTATGTGAATTTTTACATTTTGTCAAATTTATTGAAAATTTTGTACAGGGCAAAAATTATAGAGAATAATATTAGAAGTAGCTTTTATTTCAATAATTTTCTACTCCAAACGTAAATAAAAGATCTATTTCATAATATTTAAAAATGAGCCCCTATAAAATACCCTCCAGATGTTCCGATTCTGTCCAAAATCTAATAAGTTCACCACAGGCCGGAATAAAGCTTAAGTTTAAAATTTGGTGTTTTTCTCTGTATCCGTTCATGAGTTATCGAGTATACAGACAGACACACGCGACATCATCGCGAAATTAGTTTAAATAGATTCAGTCGACCCCAAAACGTAAAAATCCGTCGAAAACTCGAGGTCGAAAATAATCATGATTCCTATACTTTCCCTATCTGTAAAAATGCTTGAATGGGCAATATTTTTAGTTGAGAGTCATGTAAACATTTTGAGAGCAATTAAATCATTTTTAAACTTTTGGTTCCGATTTTGCAATATCATCTTAATTAGATTCAGCTATATCTCGAATTTCGTTAAATAAGGTAAATATGCGATCACGTGACCAGAATCCCTGAAGTAGCAAAACCGGTCTACAGGAAATGATTACAAAGGGATTTTTTTATTGTTATTAACGTTTTGAAGCATATACTTTATTGTCAGAAAAAGAGAAGAATCCAACGATAAGTAAATTACTTTGAATTTTACAGGTCACATGACTGCTCCCACCACCATAGTACATGTTGTTCATCCTCCTCCTCCCCTGTACCTAACTACCAAATAGCAAAGCAACAAGTTCGACATGCCACTTTTTGCGGTCAGATGATTGACTATAATGCATGCTATATTAGTTTGACGTAATTTGTGTTCTAATGACAATTGAATTTAAACAAAAACACAATTTTGTCATTAAACATTTTTTACAGGTCGTAAAAAGAAGTTTAAAGGCATGTAACCAAATAATTTTTATTGTTTAAATGAATACAATAGAAATAAAATGTTAATACCTATAACCTCTATTTTTGTGACAAATGTTTAGAGACGTATTACTTTTAGTTAAATATTTATTTTGGTTAGTTTTAACCATAAATTATTTGAAAATAACGCATATATTGCAATTGAAACACAATATGCTATTTTAAGTAATTGTTCTGATACTAATATAATCTAGATTTGAATCAAATCTAGATTTGCATCAAACTGAGGCACCTAGTGCATAAAGCAATTTTTTCCTACATAATTTTTTTTTACCTAATTACTAAACGTAAATCATAAACTTTTTCTTTTTCTATGTGCTTGTATTTGGAAGCTTTGCTGTAACATTCTTTTACTTTTATTAATATAATTCATTTCAAATTTTTTTTCTATAACATAAAACACATCAAATACCTTCGTTTTTTTTAGAATATTTCAAAAACGGGTATACTTTATACCTCAATTCGGGTCTAAGCTCAAGCCGTAATCATTACGGTCAACGAGTGATAACCAGGGAAGCCGACCTAGTCACTGCCCACGAATTTGGCCACAATTGGGGCTCGGAACACGATCCAGACATTCCAGAATGCTCACCTAGTGCTAGTCAAGGAGGTTCCTACCTCATGTATACATATAGTGTTAGTGGATATGATGTAAACAATAAGGTTCGTATAGATTTTAAAGTGTTTCCGACTATGACAGACTTAACAATTAGGAAAAACGTTGACAACACTTACAATTGATTGATGTCACTTGTCAATTATTCTGACAATAAACCTTTTATTTTAGAGATTCTCGCCTTGCAGTTTGAGATCTATAAGGAAAGTTCTTCAAGCTAAGTCGGGTAGGTGCTTTTCGGAACCCGAGGAGAGTTTCTGTGGTAATTTGAGAGTTGAAGGTGATGAGGAATGCGACGCAGGTCTGTTAGGGACCGAAGATAATGACGCTTGTTGCGACAAAGATTGTAAATTGAGACCGAAAGCTATGTGCAGGTAAAACATTAGATGTATAGTTTTCCTAGATAGAGAGGAGTATGTACGTCACAAATCCGCGTATCTGTAATATAACTAATCGACACATAAACATGGTAATGTCTAATAACAACACAAATAAGTCGTTGACGCTTTGTGTTGTACATACTCTCTATCTGTGTTGTACATACTCTCTATCTGTCAACACTGTAGACTTCCAGAATTCATTCAAAATTTATAATTATGTATTTTATATGTGAGTTGTATTTTTTTTTAGTGATAAAAATTCGCCTTGCTGTCAGAACTGTCAGTTCATGCGCAATGGCGTGAAATGCAGGGATGCGCAGTATGCCACGTGCGAAGAAGAATCGAGATGTACTGGTCAACAAGCCGATTGTCCTAAAAGTCCTCCTATGACTGACGGTACCGCTTGCCAAGAGAGAGGAAAATGCAGCGGTGGAAAGTGTATACCTTTCTGTGAAACGCAAAGGATGCAGAGTTGTATGTGCGATGTCAGTAAGTAATAATTTTGCTACTTTTCAGTTTCGTTAAATCATAAAAATGTTGTTGGTGTAGTGTCTTCCGAAATAATCCCGATATCTTGTCATCGTTTTACTTTGATTAATACTGTTCATCGCTTCCTTCTTTTAGTTGAAAATGCTTGCAAAAGATGCTGCAGATCAAGCATCAATGAAACTTGTTCACCAGTTGATGCAGCTGATATGTTGGCTGATGGAACACCCTGTATACAAGGATTTTGTAATAATGTAAGTAAATCCTGCAGTTTTAAAAATTATATAATAATTATTTTTGCTATTGTTTATATTTTTAATAGGGTCATTGCGAGAAAACAGTTCAAGATGTGGTAGAACGTTTCTGGGACATCATCGAAGACATCAACATTAATAAAGTCCTTCTTTTCTTGCGCGACAACATCGTCGGCAGCGTTGTCTTAGTCACCGCCTTGTTGTGGATCCCCGCGAGCTGCGTCATCAGCTACTTCGACAGACGACGAAGAAGAAATGAGTTGGAGAGGTGGCAATGGAGGCGGAATACCGATCTTATCCATCCTACCGATAACGTCAAGCGGGTGATACATCTGAGAATACCGAGACAGAGGAATGTACAAGCACAACAGGCCGCGCAAGCCAGCCGGCCTGTCATTCCAGACACTTAATTTTTTTTATCAGATATTTATAGGTTAAGCACAATGTGTTCTATATAGGATATAATTTCTCCAAGAAAAAATATGTTATTGAATGTTTGGTGCAAACTTGTCCTTCATCAATGATCGTTTGGTAACCACTGAGAATGTTGCCTAAATGGCCCTTCAGTAACTTCTTCGCTCTAATCCAGGTTGTCACATCCTTTACAACCAATTCTTATTCGGCCTTATTGTTGTTAAAAATAGTTTACTTCTCCTGGTGATGCTAGTTGGACAATGTGGCATTTAATGTGAACATTTTGATTGCTATTGTTACTTTTATTTTTCTTGGAGATGAACCTATTTTATTAAATCTAATAAATAGTATGTGATTCAGGATTTTTATCCTACGGTTTATTCCTGCCTAATTTTGTATATTTTTGTATATTTTCGATGCCTTGTTATTTTATGTCTAGTCAAGATGTACTTATTGTTGAAATGTAGACTAAGATCAATATTAACGTTACAGTATTCTAGATATTATGCCTTTTTTGTATTATATTAACTATATATTTCCAAATAACTTTTGTTAGTATTTTTTTTTAATTGTTGATAGCTCTTTTTGGTTAATTTTTAAGCAAAAGTGAAAGATAGAAACTTAAAATTGAGATTGAAAAAAATAAATGTTTTTCAGAACGATTCTTTGTTTGTTTTGTATGAACTTATTTTTCTGATTCACATAATGGCTGAGGACATTGGAAGACCATTTTTAGTGTTCTGTACCCAAATTGGCAAAAAGGAAAACTTATGAAATCATTTGATGCACACAATTGTATTTTGAAAATGTAGTAATTAGTTAATCGAATACAGGTGTTGACAAAAAAATTAATTTCTTTATCTTGCGTTAAATTGGGGGGGTTAAATTGGAAGTTAGAACTTTTTCTGATGCCGTCGTGAAATGAAAGCTCTTTGAAGAACAATTTCAAAAATGTAAGATACGATTGTTTACATTATTTTTTCCTTGAGGTTTTTTTCGTAGAAGGCTTAAAAATAATCAAGTTTGCATGCCATTAGATAATTTTATGCCAAAAATGCTCTACTATGATACTTTGGCCTAAATCTATTTTAAAACAACTACCGCACAATACACACATTTTTTATTGGTATTTGTTCTAATCTAATAATGCAGTGGATATAAAGAAAAATCGGCCAAATTACTTAAGACCAGTGGCGGATTCTCCATTGGTTCATTTGTGCAGTGAACACCTAGTTACATTTCATAAAAACACATTATTTTAAAATAATAACATAAAAATATTAATTCAATTTTAATATTTTTATTGTTTTTATACGTCTTAATATCTATTTTTGGGTACGCCACTGCGCTCTGGCGCGCTTTTATAAGTGAGCTCGCTGGAGTGAGTAGCGTTCTTGAAAATATTTAGCTAAAAAGAGATCACACGATAATAGATCCCTGAAACGTAGTGAAACAATGATAAAATAACTTAAATCAGCCTAATTTGCGCAACGCACACTGTGACGTCACAAAGTAGGCGGGGCCATATCAATCTTTCAAATCATAGATATAGAGAACACGATTCACCGGGATAGAGAAGCAATGACGGTACTGAACGTCTCACTTTTGTATTACTCTTTTACGACATGTGTCAAACTCGAGCTAGTGAGTTTTGGTAATAATAAATGCCCTTTTTTTAAATAGCCTGGTTTAAATGATATAAAAACATTTTCATTCCGTCAATCTACTAACTTAAAATTAATCAAAATATGAGGCAAAGTCCCTCCACTTGTCATATCACAAAATAGTCTTTATTTCGTTATCTACCTACTTACTGCATATTCTATCTTCTCAACCTTTAAAATCAAGCTGTCAAATTCTAAAAATCAACTTGAGACAATTTTAATTGTGAATTGTATTAAAAATTAAGTTTAAATAAAACTGCGACTTTAATAAATCGAAAGTATGTCAACTCAACGATTGTCACCGAAAAACGTCAGAGGTAAAAAAATTACTATTATTTTTTCCATTAGTTTTTTGTTTCAGAGTCTACAGAATATACCCAAGAATATATACAGAATATACCCAATTATGCATTGAGTAAATTTTTTTGTTTCCAACAAATGACAAAGTTTTAAAAAACTATGACAATTTTATTATATATTTTATTAAGGGCCATTTTTTTTACCAAGTTGAAAGTTACTACTTGCTGTTAATATGTCAAGTAAACTTACATATAACTTTACTCAGACGTGAAAAGATCGATCATTAAACAAGGATAATTTCTTGACTGTAGTACAATTTTATATGAATAATTATTTTGTAGGTTGTCCCTTGAAGTTATAAAAAAATGCCCTATCTATAAATGCCAGAGGTACTGATAAACACTGTCAGACTAACATTACAGTTTTTTTAAAGACGATATAAAATATAAATATTGCACTGGCCTAAATTAATTCAAGAAACTTAATAGTTGTGTCTATGTTAGGTACGTACCTATATCATGAAGATTAAATTAAATATTTACCGGTATCTATCTGGGAGGTAAACTATGTAGACGTAGTGCAGTATTATAAAGGTTATATTTTTAAAATCGGCTCATCGAGACCTTTTCAGTCGTATTCTATACCATGTATAGTGATGTCACAATATAAGTTAATTTAAAAAAAAGATAATACTATGTTCAATGCTTAATAAACTTACAAGTTAAACGTTAAACAACACTATTTAACTCTCACGTTATTCATACTATTTATAGAGGCATGTTGGAGGTAAAAGACACTAGGTATGTCATAAAAAAATTTGTTATCAGAACATAGAAATATGTTACAAAAACCAACAATTCATGTATTATAAAAAAAAGTTTTAATAGATGATTAGTAAACAATATATATTGTGACAATAATTGGGGCCAACTGAATTTCTTGTCGAAATATGTAAATATGAAACACGAAAAGTGTTCAACCAACATTCAGTCTGCTCTACTATAAAGCTGACTTCGAAGTACTGATATACCTATTAAATAATTTTCGACTCTTTGACTTTATCATTCTTTTAGTGTACCTATTTTTTAGGCTATTATGTTATTGTTTTAGCCCTGATTATATTATTATTCTACTCTTCACACAGTAGTCTGTGAATAGTATTATAGGTTTACATTGTCCTATGTCATGGTTTTTGTCTGCAAGTTAAGTCAAAAACGAAACATGATATCGACTTGAAAATTTAAAGCAAAACCAAGCTCTATAAAGGGACACAGCCTATTGTTTATGAGAAAATCTGATTAAAAATAGGGGGTTAGGAAGGGTTGAAATAAAAAAAATCCTAAATTAAAAAACAAAAGCGATATCAACATGAAATGTTTAGTAAAAATGAAACTATAAGCCTATTGATTCTGAAAATGATTGAAAATGGGAGTTAAGAGGGTCTGTTAAGCTGTGAAAATTATAATTTATAATGCCTCGCATTAGGTATATATCATTCTAGCTTGTATCTGTGTAATATGTATTGTGATGGGACTGTTCTTATAAAATACACATTTTAGTTTACTTGTTTTTTGCCAATAGAGTATTTAAAAAATATATTATTTTATTTAACATATGTAACAATTAGTGAAAATGATTAAATTTACAATAAAAACTGAAAACATGGTAGGTAAAGTTTCATGTAATAATATTTTTTAGACAAAAATCAATGTCAATTTAAAAATAATCTCAAAATATAAAGAAAAGTCAGTTGACTAACTAATAATGTTTATTGATAGTTTTCAACGTATTAAAAACAAAATAAATATTACAATAAGTAAAATATGCATTTATTCTTTCATTCATTAATAGTTGTAGTGCTTGAAAACGGTATGGTATTGATAATAATAACTACACTTGTACAAGGGTTTGAACCGAACTTACAAATGATAAAGTTATTGGAAAAAGTGCACCCATTTTAAATTATTACAAGCCGCCACTGCTTAAGACAATGATTTACCTTTCTAACAGAATGAGAAACTGAGCGGTGTGGTCGGATGGGAGGAGCCTAAATACTATAAAATGTGTTTTGGGACCGGTTTCTTCATTAAAACCATACGGGAAACTTATCTTTAAATGTAATGATTACGAGGGAATTCGGTTTTGAATGCACCGCATTAGAAGTAATGAAGTAATTTTTTTTTGTGTATAACCAGATTAGACCACATAGATTTTGTAAACATTTTTACATTCTAAATGGGCCTTGACAACAATATTTTTGTGTTCGCGACTCTTTTCTTGGAGAAAAATTGAGTTTTTTTAATTGAGTCAATTTAGCAATTCACAAAGTAATTGCTAATGTTTTTAAAACCGATATAATATTCTTGATACACACCACTTGAAACCACCTCACCATTCAAATGAAAAGTTTAATTATGACAGTTTATTTATACGTATTCATTTTGACCATCATGTTCGTCTTCAGGCGTTGAAGTTAACAGTATATTTAGGTTGCCGGGAACCTATAAATACCATAAAATGTCACAAGTACATGCTATAAGAATAAAATAAGTTTCAAAGTTTAAGAAAAAAGCGTAATAGCACTAATTTTTAACATCAAAATAAAGTGACCGTACGTCCCGATTTAGGCGGGACAGTCCCAACTTTAAACGATTAGTCCCGATTTTGTTCGATTAAAACAATTTTGTCTCGCTTTTGTCAGATTAAATACGATTTTGTCCCGCTTTTGTCTCAAAGTATAGTGACTTTTTTGCTCTTCATTAAACCAAACCGTCCTTACTGCTAATAGAATTCGATGGTCTTCGATTTGTCCCGCTTTCTAGTTTTCAAAATATGGTCACTTTAAGAGGAAAATTTACATTACAAACTGAAAGATCTGCGGGACAACGGTAGTTTAGTAGGTGTAAAAATTACAACCTAAAAGTGGAGCCTAAATACTACAAAATAACTAAATTACTAAACAAAATCCGCATTCATTCATAATTTTTTCTACGCCCATGTCAGTAAACGTTAAAAATCGCAATTATCAACATTCCTTATGAATGACATTTAACAATAACATGCACGTAATGAGATCTCATAACATACACGTGCGTTTTGATTGGTTTAATCCAATTTCAATCAAATTTTTGTCTACGTACGACTTTATTTGGTCTATTTAAATAAATTTAGTCATTTAAGAAATATAAAAGCTTTGATTACTATACGAGGCAAGAGAGAGGTCCGACACGCCCAACATAGGGCGTGGCCATTTTGAACGCTGTGACACAGTTTACAGCTAAAGAATCAGATCGCTCACTCTGCGTCGGCACTTTTGATCTCAATGTTTCAGTTTATACACTGTGCAACTCGGATAATACAATATATGACAACCGCCTATAATAAAACAGCAGTCTTCTGCGTATCCTGAATTTGTATCCCTGGAGTAGATGTTATTTTGGAACTTTCAACTGGTCCGAGTGAGCTAACTGATTCTTTAGCAATAAACTGTGACTTCAAAAATAATATTCACTGACACTGACAGCAGCAAGCAAAATATCAGGTGCGTTTAAACATCCGCTTCTGCTTCCGGAATTGTCGGTTTTCTTGTTTTAATCTGACAGGTTAAAACAAGAAAACCGACAATTCCGAAGCAGAAGTGGATGATTAAAACGCACCTATTAAAAATATTGCGCCAAGATGTAGGCAACACGTAATAAGGGTTCAAAATGGCGGAGTTTTCTATCTCCTTTTAAAAGGCACTCAGAATTAAAGCTGCGCAGTGCGACCATTCTCCGTATAGTAAAAGAAAATCAAAGTATGTGGATGTCCCTAAAT